TTGTTAACATTAAAAAAAAGTCAGATTAGAGGAAACTGGAAGTTAAATAAGAACAGGCACAACAAAGTAAGGGGTTCCAAAGTTTTTAGGAAAAAGAATAAAACATAAAATGGTAGATAATAATGGCAAGAATGCATGGTATTCAGGGCTCGTGGTAAGTGTTCTAGACGACAATGATTTGATGAAGAGTGTGATAAGTATGACATTGAGTTGGTCAAAGAGTGGAGGATGAAATGTGTTGCGGTAGAGGGAAAAGCTGACGGTAATGTAGAGAGCGAAGTTTGTAAAAATAAAAATGCAGTTAATATCATTTTTGACACAATAGGGATTTAATTTATTTTATTTACCCAGCAAACATGTATGCGTTGAATCAGCGTTGAAAACCAGTCGCAGCGTAGAAAAAGCGTTACAGTCACAAAAAACAACGTGCTTTCAACGGTGAATCAATGTCTGTTTTTCCCAGTAAGCACAGGACGTTTTTAAAACGTTTTAATTCCGTTCAATTTACGGTCGGACGTTAAAAGAACCAATACAATCGTTTTTAAAACGTTTTTTTGCAAACGTTTTTTTAAATGTTAATTTAAACGTTTTTTTAGCGTTTTTAAAACGTTATTTTTTTTTTATTAACTTACGGTTAGCTTATGAACGTTTTTAAAACGTTTTTTTAACGTGATAAAAAAACTTTTTTTAAACGTACAGCACGGCAATAGAGTATGTTTACGCAAATAATGGCGTGACCTTCGATTAGGCGAATTGATTTATTTAAGTAAAAATTATATAAATTAGTATATATTTAAATCAACCAAGTGTTTGTATTGTTTTTTTGTAGAATTAAATTTGAAAATATATTGGAGTATTTTTAGTTTAAAGTTGTATGCCTTCGTTGAAACTTGGTTGTGTTTGTATTTCTACTTGAATCAAGTAGATATGATTAATAAAGTTTTAATGGTGTGGTTAGCTAGATTATATACTCTAATAAGTAACTTAATTGTTGAGTAAACTTGAATGCTTAAAAAAACTAGATTAAGTTTTTAATTCTACTTAATTATCAACTGCTTTTAACGCAAAAAAATCTATTTGGATTTGAAAAAAGGGAACAACATTCTCAGACTTTTTCTTCTTTAACTCTAAAAATTAAAAATAATATCAGTGGTTTTTATAAAGGAATTACTATAGTTAAAAAAGGCTGAAAGGAAAAAATATGATGATTTGTTTCAAGAAAAGGAAGTGACTTACTTCAAAATGTCATTTTAAAGTTTTTATTATTTAATGATATTCTGGTGTTATTACCAAATGTTTAGCAGTATGAAACCTATAATATTATATACCATACTATATACCCTATTTTACTTATAAAGTTAATAATCTGTAAAGTAATTTGTAAAAATTTTTTAATTGTAAAATTGCTACATGAGAAGACAAGTTGTTAGATGAAATTCAAATATTCTCTATGTTTGTGTTGTGTAGGTCAAAAGATAATAAACAAAGATGATATTGATTGTGATGACCAAAAGATTCATTTTAAGACACATCAATCTTCATCATCTTTAAATAAAAAGGATAAACATTATGGATTTCCATTATCTCAAGCAAGTAAGTCTTTAGTTAGAAATAATAATGTAATGTTTGTTGTAAAATGCTAACATGACTGTCAATATTAAAAAATATCATTAAAATGATGAGGTTCCAATTTTAACTTTAAATAATCACCTTCATGAAATCCATTATTTCAATGTTATCAAAACTATAAATCTATGGAACAATCTTTCTTGTCTAATCCGAAATCTGAGAAAAATGCTAATATATATAATATAGCATTGCCACTATTAGGTATTTTACTGTCTATTAGTTTTTCTATGATTTAGGCTTAGACCAGTAAAGTTGTTAAATTGTTAAATTTATGTATTTTAAATTTATTTACGTAGTTTAGTTAAGACAATGTAAAATTTAATTAGTGTAAATTTGTTTAGACTTTCCATATTATGTGTTGCTTCTCTTAAATGAGATAAAAACCCAAGGATGCAAAAAACTTAATATAAAATAGTGTGAAGAAGAAGTAGTAACTGAAATGAACAGCATAATAAAATTTGATAAGTTTGACTCAGCACTTGACAATGTTTCACCTAGTAACTCTGTAGTATCTCTGCAGTTGTAAATTGCTAAATACTGATTTGACAGATTTTTCTTTTTTTTTTTAATTTTCTTTACAATATATAATTTTTACTACTTAATTAGGAATTGTCAGATTTCCATTATTTCTTTCTATTAGAAACAAAGAGTTCAAAATATTAGTGGTAAGAACTGTCAAAAACTTGTGATAGCTATGATGAAGAGGTTAGTAAATTAAAAGTGCATTCCTATAAATACTCTGTTTAATTTTATAATGATATTACTCCCATCTTACAATCCATTATACAAATCCCATGCATGGCTCTACGTTAGCCGTTTTACCATAATGGGACGACTGAATAAGCGTGAAGTTCATACGCGCAAAGTAGCACATGTGCGAAGCAGTTACAAAAACTGGCACAATGCCAAATGGCATAGGTGCAAATGGGCATAACAGCACAAAAAGAATTCCAAACATTGGCATAAGTGCAAACTGCTATAAGTGCAAACTGGCATATGTGTAAATTGGCATAAGTGCGCTAAATAGATTTACAAACATTCGCATAAGTGTGAATTGCCATAAGTGGGAACTGGTATAAGTGTGAAGCAGTTGCAAAAACTCGCAAAAGTGATAACAACATAAATGCGAACTGGCATAAGTGTGCCAAATAAATTTGCAAAATTTAGCATAATTTCAAACTGCAAATTTATTACACGCATTTATGTCAGTTCGCACTTCTGCCAGTTTTTTTAACTGTTTTTTACGTAATCAAATTTTGCACTTATGCCTATTCGTAATGTTTTCTAACCTGTTTGGCACACTAATGCCAATTTACACTTTTACCAGTTTGCAAGTTTAAAGCTATAGGTTATCCTATAGCTTTAAACTTTAGTCCAGATAATTCTTTTAACCCAGAAAATATTCATATATATGACTACACTAATGGTTAGTGTACACTTATGATCTGGACTATATTAATGGTTAGTGTGCTATTTTTTAAATAATAGATTAGATTTAATTAATAGATAAACTGTATCGTTAAATTAAAATCTAAATGTTTAATTACATTTAGATTTTATGGAAGAAAAGAAAAAAATCTAAATACAGTAGTTAATTATAATTTCATAAATTATAAGATATAATATTATTAAAATATATAATTTTTAGATTTGTGACAAATTCGCTCATGGCCAAATCTAATATGGCAGCTGGAAAAGGCAAAGGATCTTTCTAGCCTAACTAAGCTATACAACTTAATAAAAGGTACGTTTATATATATATATATATATATATATATATATATATATATATATATAACATATATATATATATATATATATATATATATATATATATATATATATATATATATATATATATATATATATATATATATATATATATATAATATATATATAACAATTATTAGGCGGGATTGTATTTCAAATTTACCGAATACTAACCTGTTTCCTTTTTTTCTCCTCTTCAAGCACTGTGTATATATATATATATATATATATATATATATATATATATATATATATATATATATATATATATATATATATATATACATATATATATATGTATATATATATATATATATAAATATATATATATATATATATATATATATATATATATATATATATATATATATATATATATATATATATATGTATATATATATGTATGTGTATATATATATATATATATAATATATATATGTGTGTGTATATATATATATATATATATATATATATATATATATATATATATATATATATATATATTTATATATATATATGTATATATATATATATATATATATATATATATATATATATATATATATATAAATATATATATATATATATATATATATATATATATATATATATATATATATATATATATATATATATATATATATATATATATATATATATATGTATATATATATGCAATGTGAAGTTATATATATATTTTTAAAACATATTTGTAATTTAAAAACTTATTACTATTATTATTATACTATTATTATTATTATACTATAATACTATTATTACTGTTCAGATTGTCTGATTTAAATATATAGTTTTTTCTTTTAGTTTGTGCATCGACTTCTCACGAATCATACACAGAGGCGATTGTCGATGCAATAATTGCTGATTCGTGAAAACGGGCAACTTTTGCTTGTCTTAAAGTGCCTTAAATCCATCGTTATAATATTACTTTGTAAATTGTTTTGAAAAATAAATTTAAAAATAACTTATAAATAAATTTTTTATTTTTTTTGTTTTTTAAACCAACTGGTTCTTTTAAAAACAATTTAATAATAGTACCTATGGATTTGGGAATATTTTCTAAAAAATAACGTCTTTTAAAAGTTTAAAAGACGCCTAAATTATGGTTTTATTTAGGTTATTTGAGATTGTTTTTTAAACGTTTTTTTTAGAACGTTTTTTAAACGACTTTTTTAGAACGTTTTTTAAACGCTTTTTTGAAAACGTTTTTTAGGTATTGCCATTCAGAACGTTTAAAAAACGTTTTTTTTCTTAGTTAAAAAAACGTTTTAAAAACGTTCATGTGCTTACTGGGTTGTACACTAAATTGCGGTAAGTTGAAACGTTGAATAGGCGTTAAAATTGTAACGTAATTTAGCCTCTCAAAATAAAACGTTTATTCAACGTGGAATCAACTTACGCAAAAAGCCACTTTGAAAACGTTTCGAAGTATATGCTTTATCAACGTTAAAAACAAACCGCTTTTTAAACGTTACATTTTCAACGTTGAATAAGCGTATAAATGTAAACGTATCTTATCTTCTCAAAAAAATGCGTTTATTAAACCTTGAAAATAAGTACGCAAATAATCACTGCAAAAACGTCGCAAAGGTGATGGTTTATCAACGTTAGACATTAGCTGCTTTTTCAAACTATTTGAAAAACAACACTTATTCAACGTTATTTCAACGTTGGTTGAAAATGTGCTAATTAAAAAACGTTAAAAAAGTGTTACTTTGCCAACGTTAATAAAACGTTGTTTTGACAATGTTGAGGAAGTGGCACATTGAAAATTATTGTCTCAATAACTAGCCATTACAAAAATAATTTGCCTTAATGGAAAGGCAAGGAAAACTTGATAAAATGCATGCATATGGTATAAATTCTTTTTTAATAAAGTTATATTTTATAGCCTATTTTATTGCGACTAATTTAAAACTTTTAGATTTTATATCAAAATGTATATAGGGTACATAAATCTCAGGGTAAATTCGATTTATTCAGCTTATTTTTGTCAATTTTTTATTTTGTTTTAAGTTGACGATTTTAATAAAATGCTCAACTTTTTTAAATATTTATTTCTTAGTTAAAAATTAAGCACTTAGTTTTAATACGATTCACATTTATAAAATATTATCAAAATTAATAAAACATAATAAGTCAGACTAAATTAAGTTTGTTAACAGAATAAATTTTTTAGTTTATTAAAAAATTAACACTTATACATACAAACATATATATATATATATATATATATATATATATATATATATATATATATATATATATATATATATATATATATATATATATATATATATATATATATATATATATATATATGTATATATATATATATATATGTATATATATATATATATATATATATATATATATATGTATATATATATATATATATATATATATATATATATATATATATATATATTTACATATTTTTTTATATATATACATAATTTACATATACATTAGGTTTGAAGCAGAGGCAGTTGTTCCATCTTGTTCGAAAAAAGATGGATGGTTATTTTGGTCAACTTGTGTTCATGCAATGAAAGCTACCTATAATAAATTTTCAATCATTGACTCCTGCAACAAACATATATATATATATATATATATATATATTACATACTAATTCAATAACATTTTTAAAACATTTGCTTTCAGATTAAAAATGATACAAGTTTTATTTTTTGATTTAGATTCTGTATCTCAATGATATCCTGGCTTATCGATACGATATCCTGTAAATCCACTCACACACATAAGTTTTACTCACTCACGTAAATCTTGTAAATTCACTCACACACATAAATCTGAAAAAAGATGTTTATATTTTTTATCTATAAATTGTAAATTTTATATAAATAAATTGTATATTTTTTATGTTTTTTATTGTATATTACTATTTGTATTAAAAATCGACTTTGGAAATATTGCAAGTGCAGAGTTCAACATACAATTTTGTTTTATATGCAAATTCAATATACATTATAACCAAGTTTAATCACGTTTAATAATATTTTGCGATATTTTCTCCAGCGCATTTGAGCGTTGATTTAACGTAATATTTCAACCTTTACTCGACGTCTTTGAGTCACGTTAAATCGACGTTTTACTACCAACGTTACAAATCCTTGCAAAATTGACTGCTTTAACAACGTTAAAGTAACGCTTTCCAAGTAACGTTTTTTCAACGTTAAGTTGCGGCGCCTATGCAACGCTTTTTAAGTAACGCTTTTTCAACGTTTAGTTGAGACATTTTTTTAACGTCTTTTAGTAACGATTTTTCAACGTTACGCTTCAACGTTTAATGAATGTCTCTTTAACAACGTGACATATCTTTGCAAAATCGATTACTTTGTCAACGTTTCCGCAACACCTTTTGCGACCGGTTTTCAACGTTGATTCAACGCTAACATGTTTGCTGGGTATGTTTGTTAATATTCTTCTTATTAATAATATTATTGTTATTATTATTTTTATTGTCATTTAATTTAATGTGTTCTTGTTTGTGTTCTGTTTGGTCATTTGGAGCGGTGTTGGCGCACCGACAATTCTTTATATGTATATTTTTTTTCTGTTGGACATCTGCCGTCATGGTGACATACCCGTAAATCATGCTTTCTATTTTTGTGCTGATATACCTGTCAATATATGTATCCTTGTGTTTACATTTTTTTGTGTTTGCATGTATGTTTTTGTAGGTGTGTCTGTAATTATTTACATGTTTGTTTTTACTCACTTGTTAGTCACTATATGCATGTTTGTGTTTATGTACCTATCAGTCATTATGTGTATGTTTGTGTTCTGTTGGATCTCTGGAGCGGTGCTGACCCACCCGTAAGTCGTTTTATGTATGCTTGTATTTATGTAGCCATTAGTCATAATGTGTATCTTTGTGTTTATCTACCTGTAAGTCATTATATGTATCTTACTCTTCTGTTGGAACTGTGGAATGGCTATAATTTCATTTGATAATGCAGGTTAGTCATTTTGATCAAGTTTTTGTTTTTTTTATTTATGTTTGTGTTCTGTTGGTCTTGTGGCACAGCGTTGAAAAAACAGTATGTCAGTATTGTATGTATATTTGTGAGTTGTTCCGAATAGGCTGCAAGCAATGATTGTAGGAGTTGGAAGTTACTGAAAGAGAAAAGATGAAGTTTGTAGAATAAGATAACAATTAACAGATGACTTCAAAGATTGCAAATTATATGAAACAGGGAAGCAAGATAAAGGAAGCGAATTCCAAAAAACTGATGTTCGTGGAAAAAAAAAGAAGAGTAAGAGTTTTTTGAGCACTTAGAAACAGTCACAAGAGAATGAATTTAGTAGATAAACAAGGGACTCTAGCTCTTTAGAGCAGTGCCCATATTTGTAGAAAAGAGAAAGAGAAGCACCATTACAACGATGTGATAATGGTTGGAGGTTGGCTGCAAGAGCAGGTTCAACTATGTTTGCAATGCGTTTTTGCTCATTGTCTAAAAGAGAAAGGGCATCATTAAAACATCTGCCCCAGCGTTTTTTGCAGCGCTTAGTGCCACAGGGTCTGTGTGTTTTGTGATTGTGATGTTATTGTTGTGATGTTTTGTGTTGATAGACAACTTGGCTCACCTTCTCGCTGGTGTCTATCGTTAAAAATGATTATTAGGTTGTTTCGTTACTGAAACTACTTCTAATCATTCACTAAAAGCCAAAAGATAAATTTTAGAATAACAATATTTTTTGTTTTAATGTTGTTTTTTCATCTTAGGTGTTGTGGATAGTTCACAAATCTCAAAAAATAAGTTTCTGATTTTATATTTATTTAGTTCTAATTGTTAATTTATAACTTTTTTTAACTTTAAATTTTTAAAATGAATTAACAAATATTTTTTTAAAATCATTGTGTATCTAATGTTATTTGATGTATTATTGTATGTATTTAGATGTATTGTTTTCAATAATAATTTTATTACAATTTTAGGTAGAACTCTGCTGTTACACCTGCTATTACTGTTGTAAGTACTCAAAATTTCAGAAAGTTCTGTTACTGTAAGTTATTTTCATTTAAATTTAAATTTTAGTTTTATTAAAGAATCTTCTGTCTGTTAAACAGGTAATTCTGAATGGTTTATTTCAATGCCCTTATGCAGTGATTTACTAATCGGTTTGCAAATTACGCAATAGTTTTAAACAGATGAATTAACTGGATTTCACGATCCTTTATGCATATTAGCATGGAGTTTTTATAATATAACCTGAATTTTTTTTTTTTTTTTTCTAAAAGATTTAAATCTAAATTTATTTTTAAAAGACAGTAAATAAATAAAAACACTTCAGTCTGTAAAATTAACAATTCTGGATAATTTTGACAGATGCAAAAAAAATTATAGCATTTAATTTTCTTATAGTTATGTATCTCTATCAAAAATTTCAAGTCAAATGTAATAACAATTGGAAATTATCAAATATGTTAAAAGTCATATTGCCCAATTAGTATGTGCAACCATATACCTGTGTAATTTACTGGCCGGCCTGTTCAATGTGCTATAATTTCAAAATGATGTATTTTTCAGATTCCATGATTCTTTTATGCATATTTCCATATTGTAACCCTAATTTTTGTTTATCATTAAATTATTATATAACTAAAAACACTTTTGTCTGTAAAATAGACGATTCTGTATGATCCCAACAGATTCAATAAAAACTGGATCACTATTTAAAATTTCAAATCAAATGTAATAACTGTTTAAATATATCAAATATATTTAAGGTCGATATGCCCAATTGGTTTGTGCAACCCTTTTTCTGTAATTTAATGACCGGTCTGTAATTTATGCAATAATTTTACTGACAGGTCTGAAAATTATGCAATAGTATTTAAATGATGTATTTTTTGAATTCTATAATTCTTTTATGCATATTTGCATATCATCATAACACAGATAAATAAGTAGAAACCCTTCAGTCAGTAAAATAAACAATTCTGGATAATCCCGACAGATTTAATAAAAACTGGATCACTATTTAAAATTTCAAGTCAAATGTAATAACGGTTCGAAAATATCAAAAATTTTAAAAAAATTATAAATTATTTAAAGTTGATATGTTTAATTTGTTTGAACAGCCCATTTTCAGCAATTGACTGACCGAAAAGTAATTTATATGATTATTTCTGACCGGTCTGTAAATTACACAAAAGTTTTCAAATGTTTTATTTTTTGGATTCCATGATTCTTTTATGCATATTCACATGGTATAATTATAATATCACCCCAAATTTTATTCTTCAAAACTAAGAAAATAATATAAAACCCTTCAGCTGTAAAATAGATGATTCTGGACAAACGCGACAAATTTTTTAAAATAAAATTTTGGTTTTTTATTTTCTTATAGTTTTTTGATCACTATGAAAAATTTCAAGTCAAAAGTAATAACCATTCAAAAGTTATTCAAAAGTCAGTATGACCCCAATAATATATAAATTAGTAAAAACTCTCAGTCTGTAAAATACGTGATCCTCGTAGATCCTGACAGATTTAAAAAAAAAATTTTTGGTTTTTTATTTTCTTATCGTTGTTGGATCACTATAGAAAATTTCAATTCAAATGTAATAACGATTCAAAAGTTGTTAAAAAGTCAAAATGACCCTAAAAATGTATAAATTAGTAAAAATCCTGGTCTGTAAAATAAATAATTTCTGGTCAATCCTGACAGATTTCTAAAAAAAAATTTGGAGTTTTGTTTTTTTATAGTTGGTCGGTCACCATGGTAAATTTCAAGTCAAATGTTTTATTGGTTCAAAAGTTAAAATTTCCCAGTAAATTTTCCATACTTAAGCTCTATACTAGGCACTTCAGTCACGTGACAAATTCCGTAGACAAAATTTTCGAAGTTTTTTATATATAAAGAGGACTTTTTCAGATAAAATTTAGATTAAATTTATAATTTTTTTTAACCTATTATGTCACAGTAAAACGTTTTACGAAAACTAAAATGATAAATCTTTCATAAAATATCTGCTAGAATTTTTAATAAAAGTTTATCTGGGTGTAGGAGCGATTTTAGTTAAGTTTTTGTAATTATTTTAGGTAAAAATTATTTTATTTGCGTTCTAGCACCCTTTAAAATAATATATAATCTTTTTATTTTCCTTCTATTTTTTTTTGTGGTTTTATGATGAATAAGTCGGTCTAAAATAACTTTGAAAAAACTAAGTTTTTGCTAATATTAGCAGCGGATATTCAGCTTATATTTTAAATTTAAGTTAAAACTTGCTAAATCCCATCCTCTTTTTCCTTTCAGTCCGTCAATGTTATTTCAAAAATTATTTCGGTAACTTATTTACAAAAACAGTATAATAATTTAATTGTATAAAACAGTCCCAGCCGGCATTATTACGTTGTTTCAACGTTGAAATTTGGTTGAAGCGTTGTTTTAACGTTGTTCAACTAATTCACAACGTTAAATCAACGTTACCGTTTAAACGTTGATTATTTAACGTTATTTCAACGTTAAATCAACGTTACAGTTTAAACGTTGATTATTTAACGTTATTTAACGT